TGTCTGTAGCTTTAAACAATTCTTCCTCTGTTCATAAGGCTGGTCATAGTGGGCAAGCATACATATGAGGAAATATCTGTTCTGCTCCACAGTTGCACAAAGTGGAGGATTCTTCTAGATAGCGCCATTTTGCCAGGTTGTCTTTTGATCTGCTCACTCCACTTCTGAGTTTGTTCAGGGACTTCCAAGTTCACCATTCTTGGTTTGTCCCTGGAGGCAGACCCTTGTGGGGAGCCATCCATGTGGAATTTCCTGGCTTAGCTGCCCAGAGAGATAGTCTTCCTATTGCTGGGGAAAATTGAATTTTTACTGTCTTGGACTGTGCATTGGTGACCTAAATGAGAAGCTAGATCGTTATGTAAAGTTTCCCCAAAATCCTCATTCAACTGGATTCTGTGTTGGAAACAAAAATTCTGGAACTAAAAAAAAACAAAACCCAAAGGGTGCGAGCTCCTATCTAACAGACACCATGAACACATTTTTCCTTTAAACCAGAGCTACATGTTGTATGCTCAACCCCTCATAGAGAATGTTTCCTGTCACATAGTTGGCATTCCCTCTCTGCGCAGACCTACTATTTCCATTGACGTCACTGGGAGTTCCAAGAGCTGAACATCCTGCCAAGTTCCCTTCAGCTGTAGGGACAGCAACTGGAAAATTCGGGGAGAGGCATTTCACAGAGTCCTTGGCATTTTTCCTAGATAAGCCCCGGAGCATTATCAGGCTTTATTGGATTCTCCTAGTTAACTGAAGCTATTCCATATGGAACCATTGAGATGTGAAAGGGACTAGACTGAAGTTGCGATTCTACAACTGGTTTCTAGACTACAACTCCAAAGCAAATCAGTTTCAACATGCATGACTTATCCAGAGCTCAAGGGCAGATTGATTCCTGGTGCACTAATTGTTATAATCCACAGAACTTGGAAAATGACTTTTTAAAAGTAATTATGGTCATGTCCACACTGAAAAGTAAATATGGGGACCAGCCCTGAGTAGAAATGCTCCAGACTGATCCTGGGGGTACTCATATGGACCCTCCTGAATGCAGTTGTGGCAGTGGGATGAAATCCACATGGTCAAGCTGGGCCAAGACTGTGTTGACCCAGCTGATCTATCACCTCAAAGTCTGTGTTTCACCATTTCCACTCCCAGCTGGCCACAGAACTCTATGAGATCGTGGTCATCATGGGCATCCTGTACTGACATTAACAGAGATGTCTGCATGACCAGGAAGAAAGAGGAGAAAACTGACCTCCATACCTTCTTCCTGTTCCTCTTGCGCCTCTGTTGATGTCACCATGGGCTACCTGCGACAGCTAGGAACAATTATAGTGCCAACATGGGCACAGTTTATCTCCTTTTCCTTGCACTGATGAGCACAAGGAAAAGGGAGTGGTGACAGTGCTTCACGAGGACCTGATCCAGCTGTACACATGACCCCAAAATTGCAGGGATACTCCAGAGTTTCACAGCATCCCCTGACTTTTATGAACACAGAGCTAAGTCATATTAACCTGATTTAACCTACAATTTAACCTACAATTCTCCAAAGTGGGGAAACACCATGGAAACAGTCAGGATCTAATTCAGGGAGAGTCTGGGTTATAATAGCCATGTCAAGTCCTTCAGTTCTGGAATCCAGGGTTCAAATCCTTGCTTGGCCATGAAACCCACTGAGTGACACTGGGAGGTCACACTCTCTCCAGGTGTGAAGGCATTTGTTATTTCATCAAGTCTTTGTAAGGTCCATTTTAGTTGTCACTATGCTACAATATAGAGAATTTTAGTGAGTAATGCATTACACATCTGTAGTGATAGAAGTACAAATGCATCTGGCTTTATCATAAGGTCTTTAAAATATTTCGCTCTTGTGCTTAGGAGTGGGATTTCTATATTGCAAAGTCTGTAGGCCAAATTGTTCATGCGTTAAAAATAATTAGGTAAACAAACAAACAAAAAAATGCATTAGTCTTGTCTAAAGAAGACCCATTGAATCAACATTTCACTCTGTGTTAACTTACCATGCAACAACTGACATAATATAACACAACAACTTAAGACTCAATCATGAGTTTATTTTCAATTAAATTAATCAATAGATAACATTGCAACCCAAGGCATCTGGATGGTGCCAAGTTGAGGGAGGCTATTGTACCAGAATGTTACCTATTTAAGTATTGGGTGAGTAATGCTTATATAAGGACCAATTCCCTTTGCAATATGGCAGTCCAGAAATCCATGAAACTGGACCATTTCCTTGTTTTAATACTCTGTTTATTGAATGCTTCAAATGCTTAACTCCAAACTTCTAATGTGGCTGTTGCATGCCTTCAAGTCATTTCTGACTTGTGATAATTCTAAGGACCCTTCTACGTTGTTGTATAAAATCCATATTATCTGTTTTGAGCTGGATTATATGGCAGTGTAGCCTCATACAGTCCAGTTCAAAGCACATAATGTGGATTATCTGCTTTGATAATCTGGATTATGTGGCAGGGGGCTAAAGCAAACCTAGCACAAGATGTTCTTGGGAAGATTTCTTCAGTGGGTGTTTGGCTTTGCCCTCCTCTGAAGCTGAGAGAGTGTGACCTACCCAAGGTCACCCAGCAGGGCTGAATGGGAATTTGAACCCTGGTCTCCAGAGTTGTAGTTCAGTGCTCAAACCACTACGCCACACTGGCTTTCTCCAAAGAGAGGCCATAACAAATGCCTTAAAAGACTGGGTTGTCAACATAAGTTATTTTACTTAATTATTTATTTATTTATCGCACTTATACCCTGCCCTTCTCACCCCCGAATGGGGACTCAGGGCGGTTTACACACTATGGCAATAATTCAATGCCAGATTCAGACAATAACAATAACAGTAAACACAATATTATAAATCTGTAAAAAACATATGCATATTAATTATAAATTATCTTTCAGATGATTTAAAACATATCAAAGGTCTAGCACCAACTTAGCTTTATAAACATTAAATCAATTGCTTTCGCTGTTCTTATATAGGTTCCGTCATATTTACTTAAAGGTGGAACCAAGGGTGCTAGAGGGGAAATAATGTCTCCACCTCAACTTTGGCTATGGTGGTTATGATGATAATAATAATATGAAAGAACATGGAAGGGAGGGGGAAAGAGCTGAGGTAGAAAACAAAGGGAACCGAAAAAATAAAACTAAAGCCACAGACCTTATTTCCAGGGCAGGAAATATAACTGCCTGTCCTTTTGATATAAGAATGAGTTTAAGAGCATATGTTAAAGGAATAACTATTTAAAATAAAAGGAAATGACCTCTAAAGCAGCTGCAAGAGTTCGAGTTGTAGATCTGAACGAACACAGACTGGACTGAAGGGGTGCATTGTGTAAATGAGACACATACAGAGATTCACATCAACCTGCACCTCAAATACTGCCAAATAAAGCAGAAACATTGGACTAAATCATATGCTAAAACTACTATTTCATTTACAGTGACTGATTCTCCCCATTGCTTGGTGCAAAATAGTAAGGAGGAAAACAACAGGAGTTTACCATGACTAATCCAATATCATTTTTTTCTGCCTGAAATATTCTTGAGTCATATGAGCAAACTTTAAAAAATAAAAACATGTTTATTTTTGCTGAAACATCCAGTAATCATATGAGCTAACTTCCAGCCATTGCACCATCTGACATCCGCCGGGAAGTAGCAGCCAACAGTGAAATTACCAAAGCAGTGACATCTAAGGCCCATCCCCTGTTCGGATATCAGCCAGTACGCCAATGCCTTAAATCAAGAAATAGTTTTCTAAGATCTACAGAGATACTTGCAGAAAAACCTCAGCAAGCGAGAATCCAAAAGTGGCAGGCTAAAACCTGGAACCTCAATCAGTGGCTGAGACTGGATGAGAATCCTCCTCCTGGGAAACTTGTAAGAAGCTGGACATCATGACATGCAGAGCCAATTTTAAGAAATGGGGCCACAAAGTGGAGTCCATGACATGTGAGTGTGGAGAAGAGCAAACCACAGACTACCTATTATAATGCAGTCTGAGCCCTGCCATGTGCACAATGGAGGATCTTCTCACAGTGACACCAGAGGCACTCCAAGTGGCCAGCTACTGATCAAAGGACATTTAATAGAATACCAAGTTTTTAAACTTTGTTTGTGTTTTAAAATACATTACTACTGTACCCTCGGTCTGCTTCTGACATGATACATAAATAAACTTTCAGCCTACATCAACAGCAAGTCTCAGCTTGAAACAAGGAGGGCATATATAACCGCCGTTTGTTTCCTCCTCCTCTTCCTCTTCCTCTTCCTCACCCCGTGGCTCTTGCCTGTCAACGTGTGGCATGTCCATCTCCTTCGCAGTGCATCTGTACAGCTATTAAATTGGATAATCCCTCTGGCCTTTGATACATTTCTGGACATGATTATTTCATTACTCGCAGTATATCAGTGGGATCATAATAAAAAAAGGACTTCTGACAACCTGCCAAGAGTTTTGTGGCCTTGTAAACACAAAAGTGCTCCAATAAAATTTTATTAAGTGTTAAAAAGTCATAAAAAGTGAAATAACATAAACTACAAAATTTACTGTCCTCAGCAAATGCTGAAAATATCGTCCATAGTAAAATTAAATTAGCATGTAATAGAGAGAAAGAGAGAGAGAGAGAGAGAGAAGCAGTGTGGAGTGAGCATTCAAAGATACTAGGCAGAGAGAGAGAGAAAAAAAAACAATCACATTCCACTCATGTGCATCAATAGGATTTCACTTATTGAAAGCTTTTCCTTTTGAGAAAAAAAAGATATTATCAGGAAGAGTATTTTTGGTTTAACTCTGCAGGTTAAAAACCAGGGTTTTAAGGTCACTCGTGTTCCTGAATCTGTCGATACTTCTTTCCTGAGCAATAATATATTGCAGGCAGTAAGAAGTTATGGGTAGGGAAGAGAGGGTGCAATGCCTCGGCTGTCCACTAGGGTGCGCTGTGTGACAAAGAATCTCTCTGGGATTGGGAGGGGAATCCTTGCGCCACCAAAAACAATCCTATATCTATATATATTTAAAACCATGTTGTCACTCCCCTCCCCCTCCAAAGGAATTGTATTTACTTCTTTCATTTCGTACCAACCGGAGGAAGGGGGGGGGGGCACACAAGACAATCGCTTCTTCACGCCAAGGCGCTCCAGAGAGGCACGATCTCCCCGGAATGGCTTGGCGCTGGGACAACTTGAACTCCCAATGCCAAGGCGAAGAGGCGCCTCCCTGCACTCTCACCCCGGTGTGTCTTGTCTTTACGGGATTTGGGGGCAAACACCCCCGGATCGGGCCTTTCCTGCCACTCCTCCGTGGCCCCCAGCCAGGATAGCCCCATCCCCAGGGAGGTCGGCACGCCTTCGGACTTGCTTTGGAGCCGGTAAGCATGTGGACGTTGCATGTATCCCTTCCTCTCTCTCCCTCACTCTCTTCTCGTTTGTGTCGTTGTTGTGCCAAAAGGAAAGCGGATTTATTGGACACCACAGGGAGGAAGGCAGGAGGAGAAAGGAAGGAAGGAAGGAAGGAAGGAAGGAAGGAAGGAAAGGAAGGAAGGAAGGAAGGAAGGAAGGAAGGAAGAGGAAGGAAGTGAAGGAAGGAGGGGAAGGAAGGGAAAGAAGGAAGGAGGGAAGGGTGGAGGGGGAGGAAGAAATGAAGTCAAGGAGGGAAGGGTGGAGGGGAAGGAAGGAAAGGAAGTAGGGGAAGGAGAGGAAGGAATGAAGGAAGGAGGGGAAGGAAGGAAGGAAGGAAGGAAGGAAAGAAGGAAGGAAGGAAGGAAGGAAGGAGGGAAGGAAGGTTGGAGGGGAAGGAAGTAAAGGAAGCAAGGAGAGGAAGGTAGGAAGGAAGGAGAGGAAAAAGTGAAGGAAGGAGAGGAAGGGAGGTAGGAGAAGAAGGAAGTGAAGGAAGGAAAGGAAGGAAGGAGAGGAAAGGAGGTAGGAGAGGAAGGGAGGAAGGAAGGAAGGAAGGAAGAGGAAGGAAGTGAAGGAAGGAGGGGAAGGAAGGGAAAGAAGGAAGGAGGGAAGGGTGGAGGGGGAGGAAGAAATGAAGTCAAGGAGGGAAGGGTGGAGGGGAAGGAAGGAAAGGAAGTAGGGGAAGGAGAGGAAGGAATGAAGGAAGGAGGGGAAGGAAGGAAGGAAGGAAGGAAGGAAGGAAGGAAGGAAGGAAGGAAGGAGAGAAGGTTGGAGGGGAAGGAAGTAAAGGAAGCAAGGAGAGGAAGGTAGGAAGGAAGGAGAGGAAAAAGTGAAGGAAGGAGAGGAAGGGAGGTAGGAGAAGAAGGAAGTGAAGGAAGGAAAGGAAGGAAGGAGAGGAAAGGAGGTAGGAGAGGAAGGGAGGAAGGAAGGAAGGAAGGAAGAGGAAGGAAGTGAAGGAAGGAGGGGAAGGAAGGGAAAGAAGGAAGGAGGGAAGGGTGGAGGGGGAGGAAGAAATGAAGTCAAGGAGGGAAGGGTGGAGGGGAAGGAAGGAAAGGAAGTAGGGGAAGGAGAGGAAGGAATGAAGGAAGGAGGGGAAGGAAGGAAGGAAGGAAGGAAGGAAGGAAGGAAGGAAGGTTGGAGGGGAAGGAAGTAAAGGAAGCAAGGAGAGGAAGGTAGGAAGGAAGGAGAGGAAAAAGTGAAGGAAGGAGAGGAAGGGAGGTAGGAGAAGAAGGAAGTGAAGGAAGGAAAGGAAGGAAGGAGAGGAAAGGAGGTAGGAGAGGAAGGGAGGAAGGAAGGAAGGAAGGAAGAGGAAGGAAGTGAAGGAAGGAGGGGAAGGAAGGGAAAGAAGGAAGGAGGGAAGGGTGGAGGGGGAGGAAGAAATGAAGTCAAGGAGGGAAGGGTGGAGGGGAAGGAAGGAAAGGAAGTAGGGGAAGGAGAGGAAGGAATGAAGGAAGGAGGGGAAGGAAGGAAGGAAGAAAGAAGGAAGGAAGGAAGGAAGGAAGGAAGGAGGGAGAGAAGGGAGGGGGAAGGGAAGAAAAGGAAGAAGGAGAGGAGAGGAAGGAAGGAAGGAAAGGAAGGAAAGGAAGGAAGGAGAGGAAAGGAGGTAGGAGAGGAAGGGAGGAAGGAAGGAAGGAAGGAAGAGGAAGGAAGTGAAGGAAGGAGGGGAAGGAAGGGAAAGAAGGAAGGAGGGAAGGGTGGAGGGGGAGGAAGAAATGAAGTCAAGGAGGGAAGGGTGGAGGGGAAGGAAGGAAAGGAAGTAGGGGAAGGAGAGGAAGGAATGAAGGAAGGAGGGGAAGGAAGGAAGGAAGGAGGGAGGGAGGGAGAGACGGTTGGAGGGGAAGGAAGTAAAGGAAGCAAGGAGAGGAAGGTAGGAAGGAAGGAGAGGAAAAAGTGAAGGAAGGAGAGGAAGGGAGGTAGGAGAAGAAGGAAGTGAAGGAAGGAAAGGAAGGAAGGAGAGGAAGGGAGGTAGGAGAGGAAGGAAGGAAGGAAGAGAGAGGAAGGAAGTGAAGGAAGGAAGGGAAGGAAGGGAATGAAGGAGGGAAGGGTGGAAGGGGAGGAAGAAATGAAGTGAATGAGGGAAGGGTGGAGGGGAAGGAAGGAAAGGAAGTAGGGGAAGGAGAGGAAGGAATGAAGGAAGGAGGGGAAGGAAGGAAGGAAGGAAGGAAGGAAGGAAGGAAGGAAGGAAGGAAGGAAGAAGGAGAGGAAGGTAGGAGGAAGGAAGGAGAGGAAAAAGTGAAGGAAGGAGGGGAAGGAGAGGAAGGAAGTGAAGGAAGGAAGGAGAGGAAGGGAGGTAGGAGAAGAAGGAAGTGAAGGAAGGAAAGGAAGGAAGGAGAGGAAGGGAGGTAGGAGAGGAAGGGAGGAAGGAAGTGAAGGAAGGAGGGGAAGGAGGGAGGCAGGGAGGGAGGCAGGGAGGGAGAAAAATGTGGCAGCACCTTGGGTTTTATTTTCGCACTTCTTCCGATATAATACAAAATGATAACGCCCAGGGCCTGAAAACCCTCATGGCACCAGATCCTGCCTGATTTGGGAGATAAGTAGGGTCACCTTTGGTTAATACTTGGATAGGAGACCGCCAACAGGTGCCGTAGGGGATATTTCAAAGGAAGGATGGGCCAAATCACTTCTGAGTGCTCCTTGGCAATTCATGGGGTTGTTTGAAGTCCACAGGCGGCTAGAAGTCACACACATCCATGTTCATTAGCCAAGGATTGTGCAGTTACCTAATTTAGGGAGACTGGATTGTTCCTGTCCTTGAAGGGATCCCTTGGACGGAAGGAGAGTGATTTCTTTCGGAGGAGTTTGGGGCTGTGTTCTTTGCATGGCAGAAGGGGTTGGGCTGGAGGTCCACCTCCAACACTTGGAGCCTAGGTTTCTCTGAGTTAGTCATAGTAGACCAGGCGTGGGCAAACTTTCTAACTTGGGGGCAGCATGCTAGCACTCCCTGCTAGGAGGAAGCAAAGAGAGAAGGAAGGAAAGACAAAAGGGAAGGAAGGATGAAAAAGTGGAAGGGAAGGATGGAGGGAGAAAGAGGAAGAGATGGAAGGAGGAAGGAAAGAGGGAGAAAGGGGGAAGGAGAAAGGGGGAAAGAAGGAAAGAACAAGGTAGGAAGGAAGGAAAGGTGGAAGGGAAGGAGGGGAGGAAAGGAGGAAGAGAGGAAGGAAGGAAGGAAAGAGGGAAGAAAGGGGAGGGAAAGAGGAGGAGAAAGAGGGAAGGAAGGGAGGAAGAAAGGAGGAAGGAAGAGAAGAAAGGGAAGGAAGGGAAAGGGGAAGGAAGGATGGAGGGAGAAAGAGGAAGAGGGAAGGAGGAGGAAAAAGAGAGGAAGGAAAGAGGAAGGAGGAGGAAAGAGGGAAAGAAGGAAACAAAAGGGGAGGAAGGGGAGGAGAAAGGAGGGAAAGGAGTGGAAGAGAAGGATGAAAGGAGAAAGAGGGATGGAAGGAAGGAAGGACGAAAGAATGGGTAGGAAAGAGGAAGGCAAGAGAGAAGGAAGGATAGAATGGTGAGAGAGGGGGGGGGGCTGAGAAAAGAGCCCAAGGGTCCGGCCCCTGGGCCTGGGTTTGCCCATATCTGTGGCAGACCAATCTTAGGAGTGCGCACATGTTCGGAGCTCAGGGTCAATTCCTCTGGAGACGAGGCTTCCTCGACTGTAGAGCTCTTGACTCCCTTGGACTTCCTGCTCAGCAGAAATGCCTCGTATGCATGTCTACTCGGAAGTTAACCCTGTGTGGATCCTCAGTTTATTCTCTGGATTTCTTTGCGCAACTTCGCGCCCTCCAACGATCAAGTTGTTGCTGGGACAGTTTTGTTTTGGGTTGTTTTGGGGGGGGGGGGTAGATTTGCGCTCCGTGCCATCCACGGCGGGGGTCAACCGCAGGGCCTGCTTTTGTCTACACGTGTTGTGTGTATGTGTGCGGTATGGAAGCGCTTCTTGACATGTCTCCCCGCGCTTTGCTGCTCTTCCTGAAGGAAGCAACTGAAAACAGGGGTGCATTTGAGGAGAGGGGGCGAAATGAGGGCCGTGCCATCCTCAAACCTGGATCCCCGCATGCAGTTTACTTCTCCTTTAAGAAACGAAAGCCGGAGGATACTTTTCTACTATACTATGTAACACATTCGGGGGGGGGGGGGATCTGTTCCTGGTTGGAAAGTGTAATTTCCCATTTTATTGTTCCACACTTACTTTGCAAGTCGTTGTTCTACTCCAGAAACTTTGTTTTTGTGACTACCACAAACTGAGTTGAATTGGTTGAGACTCCCGGAGATACCCATTGAAGTGGTTCTCAACCTGAGGTCCCCAGATGTTTTTGGCCTACAACTCCCAGAAATCCCAGTCAGTTTACCAGCTGTTAGAATTTCTGGGAGTTGAAGGCCCAAAACATCTGGGGACCCCAGGTTTGTGTCCCACAAAAACAAAAGTTTGTGAAGTTTAATCAACCTTTTCCATGTTTCTACGATAAAACCAATCAGGAAATGATGTTTACAACCCAGGAACCAAAATCGAGTTGCACAATGACTGTAGAGGGTGATACTGAAAAGTGTAACCCCCAGTGCCACATTCCCGGCCCCTTCCTTCTTTCCCCATTTCTCCCAGGGCCCTTCCACACAGCCATATAATCCAGAATACCAAGGCAGAAAATCCCACAAGATCTGCTTTGGACAGGATTATCTGAGTCCACACTCAGATAAATTGGGATTTTCTGCCTTGATATTCTGGAATATAGGGCTGTGTGAATGGGCCCTGAGGCCCCTTCCACACAGCTCAATAAAATCCCCCATTATCTTCTTTGAACTGGGATAAATGGCAATGTGAACTCAGAGAACCCAGTTCAAAGCAGACCTTGTGGGATTTTCTGCCTTGGTATTCTGGGATCTCAAAGCAGATCTTCAATGTGCTATAAATGTTTGCATGCTATGGGCTTCTGTATGCTATGCATTTTATCTAAGCATGTTTTAACTGTTTTAGGGCCCTTCCACACAGCCTTATATCCCAGAATATCAAGGCAGAAAATCCCACAATATCTGCTTTGAACAGGGTTATCTGAGTCCACACTCAGATAATGTGGGATTTTCTGCCTTGATATTCTGGGATATTGGAGGCTGTGTGGAAGGGCCCTAAATTTTAGAAATGGGAGAGTGAAGGGGAAGGCCACTGGGCAGAGGGCATGGGTCCCGCAGCCAGGCAAAGGAAACACCGGGAGCGATGGAGGAAAACGGGGGGAAGGGAGGACCGGCAGTGGGGTTTCCTCCCGGGACATCCTCCGATTGTGTCCCACGCGGGAGGCGGAGGAGGGGAACCTCATTGGGATGGAGGGCGACCAAGGGAAGGGAGGGAAGCCTTGGCAAACAGGAATCCCCTTTCTCCCTACGAGGCTGTGCCTCAGGCAGGATATCCCTTCGGCAGGGCGGGCGCGGCTTTGCCCTTCCCTGCTCCGCGTTGGTGCCAGGTCCCATTTTCCCCAGGAAAGGAAGCGTCCCTTTCTGCTTTGCCCACTTCGGGCCACCCAGCCCATGGGCTTCACAGCTCTTTCAGGCCCTTTCCACACAGCTGAATTAAATCCCACAAGAACTGGGATAAATGGCAGTGTGGACTTAGAGAACCCAGTTCCAAGCAGATCTTGTGGGATTTTCTGCCTTGATATTCTGGGTGATTGGGCTGTGTGCAGGCATGTAGGGGGGGGGGGGGGGGGGGGGGGCTTGAGGGGCTTCAGCCCCCCCCCCCCGAAATTCTCATGGTGGTTCGCGAAAAGGCCTTACTGGTGCATTATTTAAACTGTTATGTTATTCATATCATGATCTGATCACCATACTCAATATATCCCATATGCATGGGGGTATTGGGGTAATGATACAAAAGGTTTGCTAGGCTAGACCCTCTTTCACTCAGACTCAGCCCCCCAAAACTCAGCCCCCCCCAAACCCCCCCTGAAAATGTTTTAGCCCCCCCCCCAAACGAAATCCTGGCTACGGGCCTGGCTGTGTGGAAGGGTTCTGAGACACAGAAGACCCACAGTGTTGGGTTGCTTTTTCGTTTTGCCAGTTCCTTCCTCTGAGATTGTGCCCACCAAATCTAGGCTTCATTGGAGGCCTTCCCTCCAAGTTATTCATCCAAGAGGACTCTGCTGGGGGGGGGGGGGGATAAAATCCCACATTATCTACTTTGAACTGGCATAGTGTGGACTCAGATAACCCATTTTCTGCCTTGATATTCGCTGCTAAAAATGTTCCCAGAGCATGGTTAGGTAGCAGGACCCCCTAACTCAGGGGTTCTCAAACTAAGGCCCAAGGGCCGGATATGGCCCTCCAAGGTCATTTACCCAGCCCTCGCTCAGGGTCAACCTAAGTCTGAAACAACTTGAAAGCACACAACAACAACAACAACAACAATCCTATCTCATCTGCTAAAAGCAGGCCCACACTTCCCATTGAAATACTAATAAATTTATATTTGTTAACATTGCTCTTCATTTTAATTTTTGTATTGTTTTAAAGGTTGTTTTTTTTTGCACTACAAATAAGATAGGTGCAGTGTGCATAGGAATTCATTCATTTTTTTTTTCAAATATGATCCAGCCCTCCAACAGTTTGAGGGACTGTGACCTGGCCCTCTGTCTGAAACGTTTGAGGACCTCTGCTTTAGGGAATGTGCAAAGGGGGTTCTAATTCTATGCAAAGTAAGAGCAGGCTGGATCTACACTGCCCTAAACCCCAGGATCCGGTCCCAAATTATCTTCTTATCCCAGATTATATGGTAGTGTAAACTAAGGGCCCTTTCACTCAGCCATATAACCCAGAATATCAAGGCAGAAAATCCCACATTATCTGCCTTGAACTGGGTTATATGGCAGAGTGGACTCAGATAACCCAGTTCACAGCAGATATCATGCAATTTTCTGTCTTGATATTCTCAGTTATATGGCTGCATGGAAGTGCTCTCAGGCCCCTTCTACAGTGCCATATAAAATCCAAATTATGTGCTTTGAGCTGGATTATCTGGCAGTGTGGACTTGTATAATCCAGTTCAAAGCAGATAATGTGAATTATCTACTTTGATAATCAGGATTATATGGCAGTGTGGAAAGTTCAAAGCTCTGGAATCTGATCCTGGGATGTAGGGCTGTGTAGATTTAGCAGAAACTGAGAAGTGAGTGTGTGTGCCTGTGGATTTATGGTGACCCCATGTATTTCCTAGGGCAGCGGTGCTCAAACTTTTTAAACAGAGGGCCAGGTCACAGTCCCTCAAACTGTTGGGGGGGGGGGGAGAGCGGATTATAATTTGAATTAAAAAATGAATTAATTCCTATGCACACTGCACATATCTTGTTTGTAGTGCAAAAACACTTTAAAACAGTACAATAATTAAAATGAAGAAGAATTTTAACAAATATAAACGTATTAGTATTTCAATGGGAAGTGTGGCCTTGCTTTTGGCTGATGAGATAGGGTTGTTGTTGTTGTTAGACTTAGGTTGAGGGCCAGGTAAATGACCTTGGAGGGCCATATCCGGCCCTCGGGCCTTAGTTTGAGGACCCCTGTCCTAGGGCTTTTAAAAAGGCAAGTTATACTCAGGAGTTAGTTCTGCCAGTTTCTTCCTCTGAAATATTGCCTACAGCATCTGTTAATAGTCTCTCATAGACACTGAAAATAAAAGTCACTTAGTCTTCAAGGAGCTGCTACATTTTATTTTATTTTCCTCCCTACCTTCCTCTCTTTCTGTGGCATCCCACAAACCTGCTTTCCTTTTTGCACAACAAGATGTTGTTGTTTTTCTGGTGGCATTCAAGGCCAATGGAGAGCCCAACACTGGGCTTATTCACCTGAGGACTTGGTCCTAGAAGGCCTTTGCAGGCAGATTTTACATACACAAGACCTGACACACAGATGCACACAACTCCTACCTGAAGGCTCACTTTAGGCAAGGCCAAAAGTCAGGTATCAAAAGCCTCATTACTTTCCATGAAACCATTAAGGAGTTTGACTTTACTGAGTGCTAGTTTTATTTCAGAAGGCAGCAAGGCTTAATTGTATATACTTGTGTTCACTTTACAACCTATAATACACAATAATGCCCAAATGCATTTACTTTTGTATCCCAACTGAGATGCATGGCCTTCACTCCACACTTAGGCTCCTTCTACAGATTATCTGCTTTGTATTGCATTATGTGGCAGTGTAGACTAATATAATCCAGTTCAAATCAGATCATCTGGATTTTATATGACAGTGCAGAAGGAGCCTAAACAACTAACTACACATGCACAGGGCTTTCCAAAATATGTCTCCTATCCTCAAGATAAGATTTCAAGGCTTGAACAAACTTTCTTAGGATGGTGTGTATGTCACTGAATTAAATAGAATTGACTTTATTTAGAAAATTTCATTGTTTCTTATTTAGAATTTGAACACTCACTACATTTTCATGAGATCTCTGGTTGACATCTCAAAGTTGTTGCTGCCTATTCCTTAGTGTGACTATTTTCTGTTCTTTTTTTCTGCAATGGATATAAAGTTGACGTGCTCATTTCTAGCCAGTTACATCAGCAACTTTTAAACTGAGCCAGGACTAAATAAGGTTAAAACCTTGAGAAAACTTGGATAGTAGTATAAAATTAGACACTCACAATCCTTATTGCCTTAAGTTTAACAACACAGACAGTGAGTTGTTGCCACATACTTAACAGGCAATATCCACTACAGAAATCCACTAGTACTCCAGATCCTAAACTTCGAAGGGAAATCCCATTCAGATTGTCCATATTTATTGGCTTTGGTTTTATTTCTTTAAGAACTATTTTAACACACATTTTAGGTGATTTTGCACTGTGTGTTACAACTGAATATAATATCCAATCTCAGAGTGTGTTATGGATATTCATATTGTTATTTTCATATCATAGTGCTTAGGCCACAAACTGCTAAGTGGCTTGCTAAGGCCCCTTCTATATTGCCGTATAAAATCTGGATTATCTACTTTGAACTGGATTATCTGGCAGTGTGGACTCATATAATCCAATTCAAAGCAGATAATGTGGATTATCTGATTTGATAATCTGGATTATATGGCAATGTAGAATGGGCCATAAGCTTCCTTATTTTGGACTTGATTTACTTTGTGTAAGCTAAGGGGAAAAGCTGTTTTGGGAATGCTATGTGATATCCAACATAAGTAATTCTTTAAAATTGGTTATTGCTAATGCCTGTCCAAAAGAACATTGTTTAATGTCACTTGTATGACAGATATACTTATTTCAGCTACATTTAATTTTTAAGTTGTCTGCGTCATCTGTATTTTGGGGTGAGAATAAAATTTGCTGTAAGTCTGAAAATCAAGTTTTCTGACCTCAGCAAGGTCAAAACATACCAAAATCAAATGTTTTTGCTGACACTGAAAAAAATATGGGGGTGACCTTGTAAATTGATAGAGTGAGGTGAGAGATCAGAAAGATGTATGTCTGCACTGCTGCTTGTTTGGAGTAGTTTTATTTCATAGAATACGAAAGATTACAAATTCCTCTAGGATCAATGTTTCTGTTTCGCATATATCTAGCTAAGGCCAGCATTGCAAAGTGCAGATCTATTGCAGCCTGAAGAGAAGAAAATGGTGCTTGTATAGGAAGCAATAGTACCAGAGCTTTACTTGAGTTACCTTCCTTTCTCTTTTCATACTTACCTGCACTGTTCTTTGTGTATTTGTTTGTTTTGCAGGACCCCTTTTGATATCAGATTCCAGCCTTTTGACTTTGGAAGAACCTTTTCAGGGTACACCAAATATTCCTTCAGTGACTTTAAATCTTCATATCTTTTCAAACGAGGCACGATTAGCTGTTTAATAAGAACACGTTAATTGAACTACAGACTTAAAAGAAATGCAGACTTATTTCAGTTGTTTTCCAAGCTACTTTCCTCCGGATAAATTATAAAAGAAGTCTGATATGCTGTGATTTTATTTTATTAGCTACAACTCATAAACATGTATGCTTCTGATTTGCTGTCGCAGTGCATTGGTTAAGGGTAAGCAGACATATTGATTAGTTTCAGTTTCTCCATTTTCCAATGCTAAATAAATCCTGATCTCCTCCTGGATCTTATGTGGCTTGTAATGGCTCTTAAGCAAATATAATAAAAGGTTGACTATTTCAAGATTCCTTTGGGATATTTTCAAAATTTGCTACAAAATTAATATACTGGTATATTGTGTATGCTTTTTTTCTATAATGTATGCAATTCTTCAAGAATTTTACAAATAATAAAATGGAGTTTTATGCATTCAGAAATGCATGCATTTTTGTGCATGCCTTTCCCTTCCCCCGATACCTTTTGGTATGTATACATTGTTTGGGAAAGTGTAACACAGATTTCTGAAAAGTACTAATATCAAAGGACATGTGTATTTTGTTTATTTTGTTTCTTTATTGAGTCTAGAAGTACAGATTAGGTTCTATTCTTATCAAAATGTGAACTAAATACAATTCTCTCCTATCCTTCATTGTAAAGTGGAATTTTTAAATTTGAAGTAATTCATGCCCTTCTGACTAAACACTTCCTATCCAGTCTACCAGAATATCATACAGGATCTGTATGCTACCATTTTTATTTCTGTGTGGTTGAAGGCTTTCATGGCCGGAATCACTGGGTTGCTGTGAGTTTTGCAGGTTGTATGGCCATGTTCCAGAAGCATTCTCTCCTGACGTTTCACCCACATCTATGGCAGGCATCCCAGGGAGGTTGTGAGGTCTCTTCTGAGGATGCCTGCCATAGATGTGGGCAAAAAGTCAGGAGAGAATGCTTCTGGAACATGGTAATACAGCCTGGAAAACTCACAGAAACCCATTTTTATTTCTCCCAGGGTTATCACATGTATCTCTCCTTATGAACCATCTAGGACATTGAAATCTTCTTATGAACCATCTAGGACGTTAAGATCTTCTGAGGAGGCCCTGCTCTCGCTCCCGCCTTCTTCGCAGATGCGTCTGGCGGGGACAAGAGACAATGCCTTCTCAGTGGTGGCCCCTCAACTGTGGAACGCCCTGCCTAGAGATATAAGATCAGCTCCCTCTCTCCTGACTTTTCGAAAAAAGGTAAAAACTTGGCCTTCCCAAATACGGCATAGCTAAACGGAATTATGGAACTACTTGATAACGCAATGGAATAACGATTTGACATGGAGACGCTCACAATAATGTTTTAAAACTTTGTACAGTTTTATATTTTTTAATATCATATGCTATTGTTTTTAACAGAATGTCTTGATTGTTTTTACTTGTTATAATTGTTGAGGCATCTAATTGTTGCCAATTTGTGAACCGCTCCAAGTCGCCTTTGGGCTGAGCGGGGCAGTATATAAATATGGTAAATAAATAAATAAAAATTATGCAACAGTGGTGAAGAAATGCAGACATAATCTGCTGCTTCTTATCCAATGACCTATTTCTTTCATGGCTGCTTGCCTATACAACTTTTCCCTTCCTGCCTTTGGTACCAAAGCTAACACTGGCTTGATGTATCAGCACCATTCTGGTCATTCTGGCCTCTTGGGCCCTTTCTACATTGCCATATAAAATCCAGATTATCTTTTTTGAGCTGGATTATCTGGAAGTGTAGAAGGGGCCTTAACCTCTTTTCGTGGCTCTTGAAATATAGCAATTGCAACCATAAGTCAACAAGCGACTTAAAGGGCGCTTCACACACAGCTGGCATGAAGTGACAACCAGGCCAAGACGTTGTTGATTGTCTCCGCTGGCAAATGAAACAACCAAATTGACTTTCTTTAATTAAAATAATTAGAGGGCCAGGATTTACTTTATAGCCACAGTAGTGGCTTATCTTTAGAAATGTTCAATTATTTGTTCTCAAGTTGAAAATGGTTCCTCCAACAATCCAGAACCCCCATTAATGCACTTCCATCAGCTTGCATATGCATCCCGGTTACTTAGAAGAGTCTAAATATTCTAAAGATCCCAGGTCCCATCTGATTTTGGAAGCTAAGGAGACTCGGCTCTGATTAATACTTGGATGGAAAACCACTAATGATTATCAGATGGCATAGGCTATATTTAAGGGTAAGTAACTGGCAAAAACATCTCTGAGTATTCCTTACATAAAAAATATCCTACGAAATTAATGGAGTTTCCCAAAGTCAGTAGGCAACTTGGAGGCACATATAAATATAAATAAATATAAATACAAATAATAATAGTTTAATTTGTTACCTGCCTGTCCTCTTGTCTAAAGACTGAGTACCACACAGCTTAAACACATTACCTATATATACAGGTACACTGGGACGGAATCCTATACGGTTCCGGCCAAGCGTACCTGTCCAAACGTATCTCCTTCTACGTACCACCTTGGAGCTTAAGATCTTCTGGGGAAGCCCTGCTCACGGCCCTGCTTCTTGTCTCAAACGAACTTGGCGGGGACAAGGGATAGGGCCTTCTCGGCGGTGGCCCCCGCATATGGAATTCACTCCCCAGGGAAATTAGGTTATTTTCATCCCTCCTCTCATTTAGAAAGAAGTTAAAGACATGGATGTGGGACCATGCCTTTGGGTAACTATGCGGACAATGGCAATGATGACAATGGCTATGGATAATGGACTATGGATAAGTTGGATGGAGTCTCCAATCACAGAATTAGGCTAGATAATGGCCACCAGACTGGTATTTGTTAGTAGTTTTAATTGTACTGATTCAATGTTTTAACTATTTATAATTATTGGTTTTGTTATGTATTTTATTATGTGTATATAGAAGCATCGAATTGTTGCTGACAGGAAGCCGCCCTGAGTGCCCCCCCCCCCAGGGGGGTTGAGAAGTGTGGGGTAAAATACTCTAAATAAATAAATAAATAAATAAGATAAATGTGTCTGTGTGTATTTGTGTGTGTCACATTGCCATAAAATACATATTAAAATACACAATAACAAGATTAAACACACAAAGGTGGGCACCTGTAACACTCCAGATGTTTCTGGACTGTAGCACCCTTGTCATTGATGTTACTCACCAGAACTGATAGGGATTCTGAGCCTGAAACATCTTCAGGCTCATTTTACTATAAGAGACAAGTCTGTCCCAGGAAACTTTCAAGATTTCTTAGGGTCACCCAACCAGCAGGGGGCGCACTTCCCTAGCAGTCCAGTACTGTCCTCCTCACAGGGAGCATTCAAGGCAAGCTAAGAAAATTCTGGATAGGAATGTCCCATCTATGCTAAGTTTAGAAAGGTTTATTGGGGGTGCTATACCTCTGGGCATCCAAACTCCTGACATGGATACTATAGACAGGGAAATCTATTTTTCAAGAATATCACATGTCTTGATTTTAGAGAACAGTTCAGTCACTCTTGCTAAAACCAGTTAATCTTTAGGCAGCCTCAGTGCCAGAAAACAGTAGAAACAAAACTAGGCTTTTCTATATAGAAAAATAAAGCATAATCTTCTTGGAAATATATACAATTAAAAAAGCACTCAGGGTTTGATCTACCAGTTTTCATCTCAAAAGAACTGGGGTTATATTTTGATAATAGAAATCAAGAGCGTGATCAAGTTTGCATCCAGTTTGATAATAGAAATCAAGCGCATGGTCAAGTTTGCAATCAAGAGCATGTTCAAGTTTGCATTAAATACTTCCAACCAACTTCAATGGGATAAATTTAAGGATTTGTTTAACCCAAGGGCTCAATCCTCCTATTCCTCCAGTGTACCATGCTAAGCCATGCTCATGTTTTCATCTCTTTGACCCTGTTGCCACATAAGGTAAAGTAACATTCACTGTGGGTGTTTCCAGACAGTTCTTTAACGCGAGCGCATAGCGTTTTTAAAATGCAGTTGCACTTTGGTTGAAATCCAGACACCTCCCCCCGACAGGGCACCCAAATGCAACACAACACCCCTCCCCCCAAGAAAAGCGTTAAAAAAATTAAACTAACTTACCTGGCCACCATTAATCTCCTACCGGAGGTCTCCTGCTGCATAGAAACGATGTGAGTAATTTTCCTCTCCCTCCTTCTCCGGGCACGTCATTTCTATGCAGGAGAGCTCCGGCAGCCAAGTAATGGCACCCAGGTAAGTTATTTACTTTTAAAAACTCACCATTTACTTTTAAAAACACTTTTCTGGGGAGGGGGGGTGGTTGGGAGGGAATGGCAGCTACCTTGGTTTTTTTGGGCTCCAGAGGCTGAAGAAACACAAGGCAGCTATGTAGATGGGCACCAGAAATCATGTGGCACGATCCCTGGTGTCCATCTACACAGAGCCGTCAACTGGGAAGACCTGGATCTTTCCAGCTGACAAATTATTTCAGAACAAAGCAGGGTTTTCCTGCTTTGTCCCAAAAGCATTCATTTTTACATAGGGCATCACTGGGATGCCCCGCATGAAAACACAAGAGGGCGCGCACTTTAGGTGCAGTCTGGATGCACCCTGGGAATCTAACAAATGACTTCTTTGAAGGTGTCCTATGTAGTAGGGGAGTGTAATAACAAGGACAATGGTGCACTGCACACAACCAGCTCAGACATGTTCATTCAGTCAAAAGCAAGTCCCAGCAAATTCAGTGATATATCTTCCTGTATAAACGTGCTCAGTGCCAAGTAAAACATTACTTTGAAGACATGGCCGGCCTTGGATTGGAAGGCAGAAGGCAATTGCCTTTCATCCCCTCTGTAGTTTCTAGAAAAAGGGGAAGGAGAAGCTATTTCTTACAGCTTTGGCATTAACCCGTTCATAATTTTGTTAATTTATTACATTCAGATAACCACATTAGTGGATTAGGGGTGCAGCACTCTTATGAAAGTGGGAAAGCCCAGATATCTTAATTCCCCTGGACCATATTTAATGCACAGAAAAGCAACCAAGTCTCATAATGTGCACGCCTTGAAACACTGGGCTTCCCTCAGTTTTGCATGCCTAAGAAAGCTTGTTTTGGATTGCTCCGTCTTCCACTTCCTGCAAAGCAAAATACCAAATTCAGATCAGGTAATTGTGATCTGTGGTGGTGCGGTAGGTTAAATCTATAAGCTGCAGAACTTGCTGACTGGAAAGTCGGTGGTTCAAATCTGCGAGATGAGGTGAGCTCCCATTGTTAGCCCCAGCTTCTGCCAACCTAGCAGTTCAAAAACATGCAAATGTGAGTAGATGAAT